GCCAAGCTTGAGGAAGGGTAAAAAGGTCTTTTACCCTAATTTGGACTCATAGTGCGAGTCAGGGGCTAGATGTTGATGAGTTGTCTTTTTGGTATCTAATGGCACGTGGATTTTTGCGGATCTGTAGTCAAAAATCATTCGTGGGATCAACTGTTGATGGAGTGTTGTCTTGATGTTGGCGGTTCGGGGATCTGTGAACCAACAGCCAGGGATCGTCTTTATAATTCGGCAGTGCAAGGTGAGTTGTCATCACTATACTCTCGGGTTGAAGGCACCAATGTCGACCCTTTGGATTATTATCTTGATTATCGTATGATTGTGTACTGTAGGGATCTGTTAGATCTTTATCCTGGTAGATAGGATGATGCTATGCTTAGTGGTCTATAAGATCTGCCTGATTGGTTGTTGACTGGTTATATGTTGTCGTGATGTAGGTGGGTTGAGACTGTACTGCTTTTGTACTGTCAATCAACAAACACGGTAATGTTTATATCGATATGTTGTTATGATTTGTTCGGCTTATATGTGTTTTGGATGTGTATATGTTGACATGTTGTGTGTGGTTGGGTTGAGGCGGTCTTACTAAGTGCTAAAGGCCAACAGACCCAGGGCGTCTTGGATAGACTGAAAGCTAGTAGGGCGTACCAGTCAGGCCGAAGGCCCAGAGAACGTTCCAGATAGGTTGAAGGCCCGGTGAGGTGTACCAGTCATGTTGAAGGTTCTGTGAGCGTACCAGATAGACTATAGGCTGGTGGGGCGTTCCAGTCAGACTGAAGGCTCTGTGGGCATACCAGATAGACTGCAGGCCAGTGGGGCGTTACAGTCATGGTGAAGGCCCTAATTGTATGTTGTTTGTGGTATATGTTATCTGTTGTGTGTTAGTACTTTAGCGGAAACTCACTAAGCTTTGTGCTTACAGTTTTTGGTTTATGGTTTCACGTATTTCAGAGAATCGTGGCAAAGCGAAGGCGTGACCGTACACATCTTGATTTTATGTCATTGATATTGGGAGCATTGATTTTTGAATAATGTTTTGAGAACACTAATTTTGTAAACATCTTTATTGGTAAAAGGGGTCGTTTTGAAAAGTTTAAAATTGTTGTAATTTTTGGGATGTCACAAGTTCTCTTACAACAACAGTTACTACACAAGTATTGGTATGCCTCCCTTTGAGCTGCTTTATTGGAGGAGATGTCAGACTCCAATTTTTTAGGTTGAGGTCGATCAGTGAGTGATGGGGAGCACTAAAGTGGTGCTCAAGACCACAGAGTTGATGCATCAGGTGTGGGATATGTTGCGGACCTCGCAGAGCAGGTAGAAGAACTACGTTGACCGATACCGTTCCGACCTTCATTTTTAGGTGGGAGATTTCGTGCTTCTGAATGTGTCACCTTGGAAAGGTGTCCTCCTATTTCGGACGCTAGGCAAGTTGGGCCCTAGGTTCAATGGACCTTTGAGAATTGTCGCCCGGGTGGGCAAGGTTTCTTATCGTTTGGATCCACCCGCCAAGCTTAGCCAGATTCACAACACGTTTCATGTTTCTCAGCTGCGGAAGTGTTTGGTTGATGATTCCACAGTAGTTTTCTGGGATGACATTCAGGTTCATGAGTGCATGAACTATGTGGAGAGACTGGTTGCGGTTTTAGACAGAAAGACAAAGACCTTGTGCAACAAGGCGGTTGGTTTGGTAAAGGTGCAATGGCAGCATTATAAGGGTTATTAGTTGACATGGGAACCCGATGAGGAGATGAGGGACCATTATCATGAGTTGTTTCCAGTAGCGGATTTCGAGGATGAAATCTGATTAAAATTGGGGAGAGTTGTAACGCTCAGTTTCAGGTATGAATTTGAATTATTATTTTTGAGAAAACTTTATTGGCTACAACGTGGTGAAGAGATCACCACGACATGGCATTTTCGCATGAAACACATGCTTCGTTTAAGATGCCACGACGTGGTCATGCAAGGGCTATGGGTTGTGACAATGGATATGCAAAGCCCTAATTTTCGGGCTCAAGTATCTATTTAAAGGAAGTGATAACTAGGGTTTCCCCCACTTTCAACCTCCATCACCTCCTAAAGTGTTATTGAGGAAATCCTAGACTCCTTGCAAGTTTTTAGATCATTTTGGTGTCTTTGGTGCACTTTGAACGAAGAAGAATAAGGTTTTGGTGCAGGGATCCAGCAAGAAACTCATCCCCATTCTTGGAATCACTCTCTGGACCATTTGTAAGTCCTTAAGCTTCCATCTTGGTGATTCCGTTCTTGTAGACCTAGCCTTTTAAGCATATGTTGGTCCATAAAGCCCTAGCCTCCTTGTAAGTTTTGAGTATCATTTTGGTGTCTTTGGTGGACTTAAAGGAAGAAGAAGAAGGTTTTGGTGCAAGGCTCTAACAAACAACTCTTCCCCATTTCTGGAATCACTCTCTAGGCCCTTTGTAAGTCGTTAAGCTTCCATCTTGGTGATTCCTTTCTTGTAGATCTAGCCTTTTAAGCATATCTTGGCCCATAAATGAAGTTTGAATGATGGGATGAGATAAATTGTGCAACTTTATGACTCATCAAGGCCTCTTGAGCCTAAAACATTATGGATCTAGAAGTTGGTTGAGTTTTTAGAGCCATGCATGTGGTTTTGGGTCATTTCCTCATATTTTGACCTAATTAGATGAACGGCATGTATGGGTCATGCATGTTCACAAAGTTTTCATAATTCTGGACCATTAAGGTCCCAAAAAGCACACTGAAAAGTTAGAGATGAGGGCTTAGCGGATAGAGAGCTAAGTCCATTAAGCTGTCTTAATCCGATTTCCACGACGTGGCGACTTGCTTGCCACGACATGAAGTCCGGTATGGTCGCGATTGTTTTGACTTGACTGTGCCACAGCGTGGTGGCATGGCTACTACGACACAATAGTATATTTTGATTGGGATCCAGTAGAATGGCAATGATGTAGCCATTGGGTGGCCACGATGTGGAGGTCAGCCAGAGTTGACTTTGACCGTTGATTTTTGGCCTAGTTGACTTTTAACCAAATTTCTAGTATTAGAAGGTAGACTAATGGTTTACCTTGTATGATTCAGTACATGGTGTGTATCACCCACTTCTTGACTGTGTAAGGTTGTTAGATGTTGACTATATTTGCGAGGTGAGTCTTCTCACTATACTATCTAGGGTTCTAGACTGTCTTTGTGACTTTAGCATGAAATACTATGGGAAGACCTTGGCACTTGCATGTAAGGCCATGGGAGGACCATGACACATGTATGAAATACCATGGAAGGACCATGACAGCTGTACGGATGACTATGGAAGGACCATAACAATGAAGACTACAGGAGGACTGCAATAGTGAGTGATTGTAAGACTGTAAGAGGACCACACCATTCACATGTTATGTATGTTATGTATGGTATGTGGTATTTTAGGGAACTTACTAAGCTTTGTGCTTACGGTTTTATGTTTAAATCACTGTTGCAAAAATCCCGACTAGGTCTCGATTAATCCCTAGACGCTACCCAACCGATTAGAGGGCGCCTAGCGATTAATCCCTACCTATAAATTGAGTGTAGCAGTAAAAAACAATAAAATTTTAATACTTTGAAGAAATTCTATCTCAATAGAAATCATTTGAGGAATGATTAGTATTGTACTAATCATATTAACCTATTTTATTATCATATTAGTGATATTTATGAACTTTGTTATGATATTAATCATATTTAATTTTTGAAAATTCATTGAATTAGCAATTAATGGTCCCCGATTAATCATTCGATTAATCCCCGCCTAGCCGATTAATCCATTATCCCCAGTCCACCGACTAGCTAACGTCGAGAGTTTTTTACAACCTTGGTTTAAATGTTTCAGATACTTTTGGTTCCAAAGGGATGGACCGACATGATTGCATCACATCCAATGAAGATTCTACATTGATGATTTTGTTATAACTCTGATGTTATTTTGAAAACACCTTTCGATACACTAACTATCTTTTGGAAGTAATGAATGAATGAATTTGTTGATTTAAAAATGAAACTTTTACTTTGTATTTTTGGACGTTACATAATCACAAACGAATAGGAAAGTGTATTGATAAAAAATAATCAACTCATTTATAATCGCAAATAAATATAACACAATGCATATATAAAAAATAAAATATTGTTTTAATCGTAAATGATTAATTGAGGCACTTTATAGAAGAAAGGTGATTTTTATATTGTCATACATATTAAAAAACAATTATATTCATACATGATTAAAAAATACATTCTTGACATTTCTATTCTTTATTCACCATTACAATGAACAAGTAAAAAAAACAAATTTATATACCTACTAATTTACAACTCGTTGGTGGACAGGAATTGCTTCCTATTGGACCAATTTTTTTTTTTTTTTTTTCTTCCTTTGTTGGGTTTCCTTTTGGTCAGACGCACCCTAGAGACCTGCTACGTGTTATCTTCTACCATAAAAGATTGCTAAGCAAACTACGTGTTATCTCCTCACACAACCCATCGCCTATTGATTATCTCAAGATGGTTTCCACCGCCTCAAATCCAGACCTTTAATCTTCTTCTTGAATCTTCTTCACCCCACAAAAACATCAATCCACCTTTCTTTTTAACACAAGCGACGGACAATACAGAGATTGTGACGCCGGCGGGTCCGCCTCCACCACAGAAGTCTCCGACAAGCTTGCCTCCACCGCCTGAACACCTCGAACAAAGCAGGACTCGATGACACAACATCTGCCTCAACCTTCACGACTTCAATTGAACCTTCCATCAGACCCGCTAACCCTAAGCATCTGCATCAATCATTATATGCCAATTATTTACCTCGGAGTCCCTTGGAGCCAGCATTAGATGTTGCGGTGGTTGTGGGGGATTCCATCATCGTCTGGATATATATGATGATTGTACGATTGTTATCGCTGAAAATACACCGATCATCTTCTCATCTGCTATTAACTCCCCTGATTCTTGATTTTGGAGCCCTAAGCTTGATTGCCTATGACAGCAACTCTGATACTGTCTCTAAAACTTAGTCGCCTCCGCTGCCATCTCCTCCATGGTACTTCAGTGGTAATGTACCCTATTTTTTGAAGCTTTGCCCACCGTCCGCCTCCGTGGAGCCCTAAATCGCTTCTGTTATTACCTTTGACGACCCATCGGTGCCACCGATGGTTTTGCTCCTCATATGCTTCCACTAGCATCGATGGCAACTGTGTGGTTAATACTCCAACAAACCAGTGTCGCACCACCATTCCTCCACTTCTCCGGTCATCTCCGTTGTTCTCATCTACCAACTGTAGAAATCAGGTCTCAAACCAAACAAAAGTCATGGATTTGTAAGCAGCGATGACTTCACATGCTTAATCGACACTTTATTTTTTCAGGTAACTAGGAAAGGGTTACCCCGCGTTGCGGGGGTTATTTGGTATTACGAAAGTTTCTTTTTGTGAATCTTTATAACCATGATTGATGTTAGTGAATTATCCATGAATTCTTTTTTACTTTTTAAGTATTAGTCAACCGTTGCTAAATTTTATTTTTATGAGGTTTTAACATTTTTGTTGATCAAATAAGCATTTTTGTAACAGTGTAAACGAGGTTTTAACATTTTTGTTGATCAAATAAGTATTTTTGTAACAGTGTAAACGACAAACAAAATAGACAATACCAACTTATTTAAGATCAGGAATAATTACATACTAACATCTAACATCATAACGTTTAGTGATGCTAGCAAAGATTAATGGAATATTCCCATAAGGTTTATTATCCTAGGAATTATATGTATAATGAAACCTTGATTCCAAAGTGGAGGAACTTGGAACCCCTGAAACACAATAATCTAGCCAAATAGGTCATTTAAATACAAAAGAAAGTTGACTGGCTTAATCAAGATTATTTGCAAAATTCGAAAGTATAATGCTATATTTGGTAGATTTTTATAATACAATGGCTTAATAAGAAAAACGGAAGAGTTATTTGTATTTATTTTCTGCAGGTCCATTTTCTTTTCGTGTAGAAGAGCAACAATTTAATAATTTGGTTCGAGATATTTGAGTAGCTTATTTGAGATATTTGTGATGCTTGTCATGTTTTAAGCAATTGACAATGTTACCCTTGATGTATAACAAATAAAAAAAAATGCTTTTCGTGTAGAAGAGCAACAATTTAATAATTTGGTTCGAGATATTTGAGTAGCTTATTTGAGATATTTGTGATGCTTTTGTCATGTTTTAAGCAATTGACAATGTTACCCTTGATGTATAACAAATAAAAAAAAAGGGTAATGTAGGCATTTTACTTGGAACATGACCAAAAACATTACAAAAAGGAAAAATTTTGTAATTTATTTTAAAATTAGATAAAAAAAAGATGGAAAAGCGAACCTTGTTAACAACAAATCCTTTACCGTTAATCTTCCAAAGCTGATATATTTTAGATTGATCACACACCCGGGAAACATGAACCTTGTTAACAACAAATCCTTTACCGTTAATCTTCCAAAGCTGATATATTTTAGATTGATCATACACCCGGGAAACATAATCCGCCTGCGAATCAATGAAAATACTACATATCAAAAAATAGGTAGGGGTAGAGTAATTATATAAAAGGAGTTAAAAAAAATTTGGTAAATATTTAAAAAAAATATAAAAACATATAATAATGTTTTTTGAAAAATGATATATTGTATAAAAAATTATAAATGACTAAATATATTAAAAAAAACTTTGTTATCTTACAAATTAACTAACCAATGAAAGAGTCGAAGGAACCTGGCTAAAAAATTTTATTTTGAACGCATGAACTATATATGAATTTACTTTTTATAAATCATGTAAAAGAATACATTAACCGAACACGTAAGTATCTAACAGTACACAATTTACTACCTATCAAACCATTAAAACATTTAACTGCCACGTTTATAAACATCAATGTAATATTAGTAAATTCAAAAAATATTAAATATAAAGTAGAAAACGTTTTTTATAAAATGAAGTCACTTGGTCAATTACCCAAATGAAAGGGTTACTAAAAAATACTGATACCTCGTGTTAGTATAATTCATATTCGTTAATAATCACATGTTTCACTCCATAAAATGGAGTAATTAAGATACGTAAATGCAATTACCATGTAAAAATATATAGGAACTATACAAAGAAACAATAGGGTTAATTGTTAAGGTTCAAATGACACTTAATGTAGAGGAGGAAAGGTCAAAAAGAAAAACTTAGTGAGCGAAAAAGAAATATACCTGCTCATCTTTATCGATTCCCACAACGTCTACAAGACTTCGTGTTTCCAACTCTTCTCTTCCATCATCAATATTTGCTACTTCATAGCATTTAGTTGGATCCAAACGAAACGATCTCAGATATCCTAATTTAAATTTCTTTGCATCCTAAAAACATTCATTGATACTCTTAGAAACATTGTAAATATCAAAAAAGGCTAGATAGAAAAATCTGGAATAATTGAAGTTACCTCTGGGGGTGTTGCACAAAGTAAATTTATGCCAACGCTGCAGGATCTAGCACCATTAATGGAAGTTTCTATTTCAAGCACAACAAAGAAGGTAAATACAGTTTATTGTTTTATGATGTTAACTGTAAAGGTTTTCATTGTTAAGTGGATTTATAAATGATTGTAACACAAATACCTGAATCAGATGAACTTGATGGCTTCCTGACTAAAATATTTTGGAACCTGGTATCTGTTGACGTGGATGTCAATATTGGAGTTGCCTGATCAAGGAGTATCACATAACAGAAGGATCAATTTATGAATTAAAGCTATGGTAAGAAATTGTTTTAAGAGATAATTCTTGAGTGTGAAAACATCAAATGGATTAGCAACAGCTCCCTCCCAATCTTTTGCAATAATTTAGCCTCACCCCTCTAATTATGATTTCTAATTAGTCAAATTACATAACATTGTTAATGAGTGAGAGATTAGAGAGGATAAATAAGTTAAGAACCTGAATCAAAGTTCTATGGTCTCAACATAACTGCGAAATTAGCTATACAGGGTGTTTATGAGCAAAGAGAAGAGCAATAAATATAACTCTAATTTTTGCATGTGATTCGAATCCTAATCACAAATTAAATGAATCTAGAGGCAGTTTTTTAAATCATGAAAGCTCTGTTTGCACCATTGCTCATAATGATAGCAAATAACTTCCTTCTTATGTTACTGAACTCAAAAAACTGATGTGATTATGTTCACCATGTGCATAGTAACAATTCAAACCTTCAACAATTCCAACCTACACAAAAGGATTTTAACATAAGCAAGAATATCGAAAGTAATAAAAAAGGAACATGAGAAGAGGTAAAACTTTTACATCCTCATGTGCTTCTCCAAGGGCTTTTCCATCTTTCTTTCTCCTCCAATTATGACCATCTTTACCAAAAAAAAAAAAAAAAAAAAAAAAAAAAAAAAAAAAAAAAACCTCAGGACCTTGCTGTCAAAGAGAAACAAATAGCCACCTATAGAAGCATGTAATCAATAACGTAGGTAACCACAAAATATCAGTTTCAAAACTTAGTAAGAAAGTGTAATAAAATGAAATTTGATATGCTTTTCAAAGTTTCCAATACCTCAGAGCATAAATGTATGTGATCGCACCGAGTAGAACCGGATAACGTACACCCAGCTGGAAATCATTTTCTAGGGCAGGACCGCAACCCAGTGAGGGATTAATCCCACAATTAAAAACAACAAAGCACAAATTAGAAAAAATTAGGGCTCAAACCTACCTGGATCCGGTTCATCATCTTCGGTAATACCTTAACAGGGGCTTTTGCCGGAGGCTTTCTCCTCGCCAGAGCAGTGTTAGGTCGATGAAGTGATCATTCACATCATCATCAAACCCTAGATAACAACACGTAGGTGGATAGAAATTAGAGAGCGGTGGATGGAAATTAGAGAGCGGGTAAGACGCAGATAAGAATATCAGAGACGAACAAAGATAGAGATTAAAACACAAATTGAGATGAAGGCGGTGGAACGTCAAAGAGGCGCACTGAAAGAGTCGAAATCGAAAAGAGAAAGAGGGAGAAAAACGTTTGTTGGAAGAGGGTAAAAATGATGCCTTCGCTTTGAGATAGAAGAAAAATAACGGAGATAAAAGCATACCAGATGAAGATGGATTGGCCGACAGTGGCTATTCCTGCTCGCCGGCGAGGCCGTCACTAAGCAGCAGCAGCAGCGGCAGCGACACATCTGCTGCCTTCACGGCCTCTTGCAGTCGGTGGGAAACAGACACAAATCTACGGGAAGTCATCAAAGGAAGAAAGGCTTTCCGGATGAAATTGGAACAAACTGAGATAAGAAGAAAGGGGCGAAGTCAAAGGCGGTGGAGAGGAAGTAATAAGAGGCTAAAGTGGCAAAGGTCTGAAAGTGTAAAAGTTTGGTGGCGAAAATAGGAAAGCAAAGAAGTGACTGTAGATAAGGCTCCCCAGATTTAAGTGTATATATAATTATTGATTTTGTTTTTCATCTATTTATTCAATTCGTTTTTTTCCTTTCTGGCCTTCATGATGATGCCTAAAGGTTTTGGTCTTTCGTTATGGTCTTTGTTTGTGTGATTATCGGAATACTCACCAAGACCCATTATGCTTAGGTTAATTCCTTGACCCACTGATGTTTTTTATTTCATAAAAAATTGAAATTTTCTGAATTTTATTTTTCTAATTCATATTTTGATATGACAGTATTATAAGCAAACACATCTGGAATCAATGACGAGTGATATGACAGTATTACAAGCAAACACAACTGGAAGCAATGACGAGTGAAAAAGATGCAGCAGAATTCCAATTAGAGAAGAAGATGAAGCGTATCCTAGAAGCTCATGTTATTATTATTTTTATTATTAACTACTTACTTCACTTCCACTTGCTGTGTTTAGGGAGGGTTTATTTACTGATTATTGGTTTGAGTGAGAGAGCAGGTGGAAGTAGGAAAGAGCAGATTCACTCTGCATATATCTTCAACTTGGGATGAAGACACTGACATGAAAGCCCTCGAGTAAGGCAGTAAGCTGATATTTTTTTATTTTGTTTTGATAATTTAATATAAATAAAATTATTTAATAATTTATTTTTAGATACAGGAAATTCCGAGATTCCATTATTGGATGAACACATGGCTGAATTTATGGAAAATACCCACTTTTACACCTCCTTTCTCCATCTCACAACTAGACAATGCAAAAGTGCAGGTGACCCTTTACTCCTATTTATAAAAAGCTTTATAATTGTCATTATATTATGAATAAATATATGAACATAACTCATGTGTTTACTAAATGATTTTGAATTTTGTGGAAATACGGAGCTATGCAGGCTGACAAAGCAAGTGGTGTTTTCAAACCCATACAAAATTTCAGAATTTAACCATTGGACTTTACCTTATATTGATTAGGTCTAAGCACATAATCAATTACCTTTTTACCATCTTGATGTTGTATTTTGTTTCCTATTTAGGCATTTACATATGTTGTATGAATTATGATATTGAATTTGTGCAGGTTATATGAAAAAACACAAGCGCCATTAATACATGGTGATTTCCATACGGGTTCAATCATGGTTACCCATGAGTCAACTCAAGTCATCAACCAAGAATTTGCGTGCTATGGGCCAATGGAGTCTGACATTGTTGCTTTTATTGGAAATCTATTTTTAGCCTATTTTGCACAAGATGGACATTTGGATCAAGGGAATGACCAAAAAGTAGGTAGATTTCTGATACGGACCCATCCCATACTAGGCCCGCATCACGCCATAAGCCCAAGTGTAGAACTCACTCCCAAAAGCGACAACAACCCACCCGATCCCATTGCCACTCAATTGGCTGCCATAGCAGCAAAGCTGGAGTCAATTGAAACAATGAAGGAAGATATAGCAGCCCTGAAAAAGAGGGAACGGTCCAGCGGGAGCAAGAACGACGAGGGGGAAAGCAGTTGGAGGGGTCGAATGCCACATAAACCCTACAACAAAATTGATTTCCCAACTTTTAGTAGCGGAGACCCACGTGGATGGCTGCTGAAAGCCGAAAAATACTTCAGGTACTATCAGATCCGAGATGAAGAAAAGGTGGAGATAGCTTCAATGCACTTAGAAGGAGATGCCTTGGACCTCTATTTATGGTTATTTGATGATCGTCCGATCACTTTCTGGGAAGAATTGGTCCAAGTGTTTACAAGAAATTTTGGCCCTGCTGAGTTTCAGAACCCTGATGAGTTCCTATGCAGCATTAAACAAACTGGTACAGTACAAGACTATCGGCAGGAGTTCGCTAAAAGAACCTCTCGGGTTTCAAATTGGCCAGATCACTGTCTTTTAGGAGTATTCCTAAATGGCCTAAAAGATGAACTAAAATCAGATGTACGAATTCACAAACCCCATACGGTATATAGTGCCATGAGCCTGGCTTTGGAATTCGAATCTAAACTCACCTGTCATCGATCTGGGAAAAATGTCTCGGGAACCCCAAATTCGAAACTCTCACAAGCAGATCCTAAACTGACCTCTTTTATCCCAGCCCAAACATCAAACCAATCAAGAAATGTTTCACGAATTTCCGAAAATGAGAAGCAAAATCGATTTCTAAAAGGGGAATGCTTTAGATGTGGCGAAAAATATGGACCGGGTCATCGTTGCAAAACCGGTACCCTCAAGGTTTTAGAAGCTGATGAAGCCGTTGAAGAATCTCCGACAATGGATCTAAATGATCTTGATTCTGACCAACAGGAGACTGCTGAAATTAGCTTACATGCTATTCTGGGAAAATCGCAACCTACCACAATGAAAATCCATGGTATGCTTCATTCTACAGAGGTTTTAATTTTAATAGATGGCGGATCTACACACAATTTTATCTCAGATGTCTTGGTGAATGAACTTAAGTTGGCGACTCAACCGGTAACGTCTTTTGGTGTTCAAATCGGTAACGGAGACCTAATTCGATGTGGTCAAATCTGCAAAAATCTTTCTGTACAGATTAATGACCTCAAGATCACTCAGGATTTTCATCCTTTCTCTCTTGGTGGAGCTGATCTAGTTTTGGGTGTTCAATGGTTAGCTACGTTAAATACGGTTCAAGCTAACTGGAAGGAATTATTCATGATTTTTTCAATAGATGGAAAGCGATATAAGCTACAAGGCATTTCATCCGGCCCTCAAAAGTCATCCAGTTTCCAACACCTAGCCATTGAACCAGAAACTACCCCTTGTATACCCCTCCCATTGCAACCTGTTGTCAACCAATACACCACCATCTTTGAAGAGCCTCAACATCTACCCCCGATTCGATCACAAAACCATTCAATCCCACTTATGCCAAACTCCACTCCACCTAACATCCGTCCTTACCGTTATCCCATACTAGGCCCGTATCACGCCATAAGCCCAAGTGTAGAACTCACTCCCAAAAGCCAGCTTGTATGAGGAGGGGACACCTAGACTTATAAGCCACCAACTTATAGTACTTTCGGCCGATGTGGGATCATAACAATTTCATTTGATATGTAATTATGCTTTTAAAAGACTTTTGGTTTTAAAGTGTGGATACAATAGCAGATAGTTGGAATTTTTTTTTTATAAAAAGTTTACTTCTCTTTAGGATATACACAAAGAGGGACCAGGTGAGGCATACCTTCATGAAATTTTTAATTATTTGGAGTTTTGGTAGCTTGTGAAACATATATTTGTTCCATGCATCTCTTGGATTTGCTTCTGCCAATATGATAATGTAATATAATGTTTGAGTTGTTAAAACAACGTTCACCTTTTTGCACAGACCAAATGAAAAATTCTTGACATTTTTTTTATACGAGCTGCATATACAAATGTTATATCAGATTTTTTTAATTGTACTCATGCTTGATGCTTATGAAGATATTCCAGCAGAGACAAGTCGCGATAATGTCCCACCTCTTGTGCACACTTTCGCTGAGATTGATTTAGGGAAAGCTTTAAATTTAAACATTAGGAGGTGCAGGTATATGAAGCCAAATCCTGTTCAAAGACATGCCATTCCAATCTCTCTTGGTAGAAGGGGTTTAATGGCTTTTTGTTTTCCAATCATTAGTGGAATAATGGAAGGGCAATTTGGTCAAAGAGCTTTTTATTGCTTCGCCTAAATGATTCTACCTTCTTATGTTTGTATCCTTGATCATCTATAATGTTTTAGACTATATGGTAATCCATGGAGGCGTTATATAGTTGAACTTTGTTTCTATCTACCATGCATTGTAACAGACAATATGGTATGCATTTATGAGTTTATTCAATAAACTAAGAAACTGCAAGAAAATTAACTTTCTTTGTATGTTTAAATTTTTTCTCTTTTCCTGTTAATCAGATGAAAAGTGGTGAGAGAGTTGATGGGTGTGCAATGTTTTGGCGTTCATCAAGGTATCTTTTCATTATGCTATAATTCTTTATTTTCCCATAAAGAACTCTTTCATAGCTCTTGATTTTGTTTTAGGGCAGTGGCAGCAGTTCTGCTGCTGGTAATATTGTTACTGTCCATGTTCGTGTGCAAAAAGATGCAAAAATTTAACTTTTTTTAGTCATGGTTTTCGGTTGCATTAGTCTCAGTTTCTATCATATATTCATGTATATCTTTTTCTATTTCATGTTTTTATCATATTGGCATCAATATGAGCTCAAATTTTCGTTTTGCAGGAAATATGGAAGAGTGTAAGTAGGTCCTTTTGGTCCAATTAAATGGTTTTATATTAAATGGAAAATATAGGATTCTATAAATGGAAAAACCAATTTTCTTTTAGACAACAAAAAAAAAACAAACTTTTTTTGAAAGAGGCGTGAATGTATTTTTTACGAATGATGAATATGAATCCATAATTGTTTCCTTCATTTTTTACTATATTTCATTTAGGGCTTCAAGCAATCAGTTGGAGCAACACGCAATGGCAGCTCTGCCCCTGGGTTTGTAACCAGATCACAAGTAGAGGAAAACATCTTATGATGTAAAATGGTCTGTTCTTTTCTTTTCTTCCTATGTGTATAGTCAATATGCCTTTTAAAGCATTCTACTTTACATCAAAATATGTCTGTTATTACTCAAAATCTTATGATGTAAAATGGTCTGGTTTATTTTTGGGTTATGGTTTGAACCTATTTTAACAGAGACTCGCATCACAAAAGGTGTTGTTTTTGTATTATTATGGATTTGGTCATTGATAAATATTA